GTCAGCTTTGTGTGAAACAAAGGTCTCTGTTAATGCCAAGTCATTATTGCAGAAGAAAAAGACACATCTGACATCCAAACACACCATAAGGCTTAATGACAAACACTGAGGTTAAAGGGCAGTAAGTCCAAACCTGTCTGGTAGCTGCAATAGACTCTATATACACCAGTCAGCCAAAACATTAAAACCAGTGGTTGGTGAAGTGAGTAACATTGATCATTTTGTTACAATGCAATGTTCTGCTGGGAGACCACTGGTCATGGCATTCATGTGGATGCCACTTGACACCCTCCACCCACTCAAACACTGCTGTGGGCTAAGTAACCCCCCTCAAGGCAATGGTATTCCCTGATGGCAGTGGCCCCCCAGCAGAAAAATGTGCCATGCCACACCACAAAACGTGCTCAGGAATGGCCTGAGGAACGTGACAAAAAGCTCAAGGTGGCCTCAAATCTCCCACACCACAATCTGATTGAGCATCTTTGGGAAGTGCTGGTGCCCCACCTCACAACTGACAGGTCTCAAATGATCAGAAGCCAGACACCACAGGACACCTTCCAGAGGTCATGTGTCCATGCCTTGACATATCAGAGACAAGTTGGATCCAGGGAGGCCCCACCACGGATTAGGGGTACCTCTGGGGTACCAGCACGTCCCATGGATGCTCTATCAAATTTGGATCTGGGGAATTTGGAGGCCAGGTCAATGCCTTTAGCTTTTTGTCACATTCCTTGGGCCATTCCTGAGGAGTTTCTGCAGTGTAGCTTGGTGCATTTTCCTGCTGGGGGGGCACTGCCATTGGGGAGTGCTGCTGCCATCAGGAGCAAAACTGCACCTCATGAATTTCTGGACCAAAAGCTCCCCAGGGGAACATTGCATTGTACAGTAACAAGATAATCAATGTTACTCACTTCACCAGACAGTCGTTCTAATTTTTTTGGCAGACTGGTGTAATTACATCAGCTCCTCAAGATCCAGTGTAATTAATGAACACACCTAAATACAAATAAATCACAATGGATATATCTCTTTATCTCCTTCACATTTTCAGGAGCAATGTCTGTCTGAAAAGAACGTCAGGTTTCTATAAAGCATTTATAGATATTATGACATTAGGTATAAAACAAAGTCATGCGTCCTGTTCTTATAATGGTTATCTACTGAATCTACCCTCATTCTTTATGAGCAGAGTGTTTAAAGAGAAGTAGCAGTGTTGCATAAGAGTCATAATTCTCTTATGATCTTATAAAAGTGCACTGTGTCACTTAAGAAGGTTTTGCATGTTGCATAGTCATCCTCGAAGGTCCTCTTTTCTTCTATATTATACTGAACAACAGAAAAATATGAGGAAGCTCTTTAAATCCAGTCAGTGTACCAGCATGTGTTTTACAGTACTCTGCTGATGTTTTATTAATGTGATATTAATGGAAAAACAAACACTACTGATACGAACTGTAGCTTCCAACTTCTGAGCAGTTTAGTTTGTCAGCCCCAGTTTTTCAATTTGATTCAGTTACAATGATAAATGTATCTTCTGATGTTAATTAGTCACACACTGCACTGCAAATTAAAAAAAAAAGAAAAACACATGCATAAAGACACAACACAGGCAAATTAAGGTAAACATTTAAAGTGTGACAACACACAGCTGCAAACAGCTGCAAATAAAACTAAGCCTGCTACAGCAAGTTTTATTTGCTAACATTAGTCTGCCTCACTTCTTACCATCAGCTCCACCTGTCATACCCATAGATTTTAATAATAACCTGTTGCTTCTTGACATTTTTTGCCAGACATTTGGCCATTGCCTCTCCTTTCCTTTAATGTCCTTGTTCTCTCTGTTCCTTTTCCTTTAAGAATAATCTGACCCTCTCTGTCAGACAGTCTGCACTATTTCACAATACCTGCTGCAGGGTGGGAGCATCACACTGATGTTGAAATGTGTTGTAATGATGACTATACATTTATTTAACATGTAAATACATCTAACTTGTACTGTCAGTGACATAAGTCAGTAAGTAAATTCATGCACTTGATCCCATTAAACGGTCAACCATAGACCTTTACATGGGCCCCCTTCGGCCTTGGGCCAGGACCATCCGTACCCTTTGAACCCCCTGATGTGGGGGCCTGACCGGGTCCATTTGTTTTGTCGAGGAAGAGACTTCTGCGGGTAATTTACCTCCCAGATCAGAAAAAGTGAGCATGCATTAAATTATCAGAGAAAATAAGTGAGCACACAGTAGCACCTTGTGGCCAAGCTGCCTGTGTTCAACTTGTCAAACAGCACCAGTGAAACACTGATTCGTAATGTTAAACACCTCTAAATCACCTGGTCTGTTTCTTTCGTCTGTGGGTAATACAGCTCCCTGTACAGAACTGAACAATGAAGGAATTCTAACCAGGAGAAGTTTCAGCTGGTCACAATCTGCAGTTCTCACCACCGCATGCCACTAAATCTCCCTAAATCTTAGACCCTGAACCTTTACTTACTGAGTTATAACAAGTCAAGTTGCCATTTCCCAGCATGAATAATAAACTAAGCACAAAAAGATCAGGCACCTGATTGTCAGCACCTGGGGGGTACCAGGAGCTCAAAACAAGAGTCGATAGCAACAGCAATAAAAAAGCTGTTTGGCAAATTTTTCATGGGCGCAACCCATATACTCGGCTCTGCTGCTCATCCCACAAATGCATGTTCCTTACAAATGTACTTCACACTACTGTCCTATTTCCAGCCTCGCCGCCCCCTGAATTAACTGCAATTTTTCCCCACTCACTCTCTGCTTGTACATACCAGCTCATATAGCAGCTCAGTTTCTCTGCTCCTGTGGCAGCTTGACTCCTCTCCTCACCACTGATGTATAAAGAGAACTCTAAAGCTGTTGCTGTGTCTTGTCTGTGATAAAGAATGGATGAGGACAGACACGTTGTTGAGGTCAAGAAATATCCAGAGCTATACGACCTACAATCCTGTCATCATAAAGACAATGGCCAAAAAGATACTCACTGGTGAGTCATAGCTCTGGAGATCGGCTCTTCAGTCTTGGACTTTTATTAAGGGTGTCCACACCTGGTTTTAAGCTATCGCAGAGGTGGAAGAAGTACAGATCTTTCAGTAAATGTAGTAATAACGTTGCATATGTCTGTGAATGAGCTGCAGCACGATGCCTCAGGTGTGTACAAGGGGCAGCACTTGACGAGCGGCACTGTGGTGGCACTGGTGAGTTTTCAGCTTTAGTCAAAGTGTCCACTCCCTTAATTGTGTGTAACTTTAAGACTTAATTACATTCAAACTTGTGAGTTGTATAAAAATTCACCCCCTTACAGTTATGATGAATGGAGAGATGAGCTATAGAACCCAAAGCTGCTTTTTGCACTAGGCTGTAAATATGATTTTTGTTTTTATTGTAGAGTTGGGCAGTTAGATTTCAATAATATAGACACTGGAACAAAGATAGCACCTATTCATTGCAATGGAGCTGCTCACATAGTGCATACGCCCAAAAGGTTTTCTAAATTCTTGGTTTACTTGCGCAGTATGCTGCCCACTGAATACACGCAGTAGTGTTTTGGTCACTGGCCCCACCACAAGTTCCTGCTCGGCTCACAGACTTTACATTGTGATGATGTCACAGGTTTTTTAATTGTCGGTGAAGATTTTCAAGGTTTTTAAATTGCTTTTCTCGGCTTGAGAAATGTTTTACGAATATAAAACCACCATGGATCAAAAATTCAGCATAGAAAGATTTGTATTTGACCTGGTTTGCAGTTGGAGGTGTCCTGTCAGCAGTTTTACAGATGTTTCTTTTATGATGGCAGTCTATGGGGAAAATGCCTTCTGGGCTGCAGGCGATTTTATTTTTATTTTTTGCTGCAATACCATGAGTGACCACTGGGAAAAATTTGCTGTAAGGCTGATTGGCTTTCTTGGGGGCCTGATTTTAACATGGGGGTCTATGGGGATTGACTCACTCTTGGAGTCACTGCAGCTTTTAGCACTTCCACATTGACCAAAGGGCCTGTCCCAATACCCACACTTCCCCTATAAATACCCACTTGCACTTGGTCGTGCGTGTTCACGTTTAGGCTAGTGGTGTCCCAAAACAAAACTGAGGTAATGGAAGTGGTTTCCAACACTTAAAACCCACCCTAGATTCCAAGGGAGCCCCGACCCACACTTTCAACAAAGTGGAAGATGAAATTTCACGAAACACCTTGCGAACTACAATTTGTTACCAAATGTAGACTATACAAACAACAGATGGTTGGACTAGCGTAAAGTCATGAGCAACTCAGTTGAACACAGCATCAAAATATTTAAACAAATCAACTTATCCGAACAAAACCGATCAGAACTAGATGAAGTTGTAGGCACCTCCTGTTTTCAGCAGTTGTTCTCCGTTAATTCATCTCAGGGAAAGATCTCTGCCCTGATATTTCTCACTTCCCTCATCAAGGGTTATCTAGCAAATGAGGGCACTCAATACCAAATGGAAGATTTAAGGGGTAGAAATGGGATTGGGCTATATGTTTCAGCTTCGGAGGTTACCCCTTGGTTGTAGGCTATTTGCAGTGTGTTTCTCTGTTTGCAGTTTGTTTTTTCTAAATGCTGTGTCTGTGGTGTCTACTTGGTCAAGATGTTTTAATAGTTTGCTTGTTTTGTGTCTCTAAAGTGTGTTGAGCTCTCAGGGCCACCGTGGAACCTCCTTAGCTCCATATGTGTTACTGTATGTTAACTAGCCCAGCTGCTGCATACCTTTCCATTACATCAAACACTTTCAAAGGTTAATCAAATTGTCTGCATGTATGTAGACATAAAATAATAAATGGAACATGACAGTGTCAAAGTGCAGTGGTGACCCCAGCAAGGACGACAGCACAGCAGAAAACACTGTGCGGTTTGACACGTGCATGTTTCTTAACTGATAAGTTTCTGAGTATTGTGAAAATGTTGCCTCTGTTCATGAGAACAGACACATATTTCTCCTCAGTTCCCTGTTTTTGAGAGATGTTAAGATAAGTGGCTGTATATAACAACTGGTCATCCTCTCAATCAGCACCTCCTCACAGGGTCAGCTGAATCTACAGACACTGCGAAGAGAAGACAAGAAGAAGATTAGAAAGTGCTGCAGCAGGTTTGCACCAAACTTTATCATCATCTGACATTTATTCACAGGACTGACAGTCAGTACGGCTGTTCCCTAAACAAGTTTCAGTAACACGTCTGTCTCTCGTAGTCACCGTCACCATGAAGATGCTGACTGTGTCTGCACTTGTTTGTGCCATGGTGGTTCTGACCAGAGCTGCTGGTGAGTATAATACATACGGTACACATGTTAATAAACACAAACAGTCCAAGTCAATAACTGCAGTGTCAAACTTTCCAGCTCCTCCAGAGGAAACACCCCAAAGTGGCCAAAAAGGTGAGTGGCGTTAAGATTTTCACCTCAACAAAATGTGATTGTTATGATGTGCTTTGTGTCAGATGCTAATGTAACTTTAATTTATAATTAGTGCCAATATTATATAATCATAGTTCTATATTGTATAATTTAGTGTTAGGCTGTTTTTTTTTTATGCAGTGTGTTATATTAGCCTATATTCTGTTTTACACTATGAAATTCTGTAAATTATGTTGTGTTGTGTGATCAAACACTGTGTCATATCAAGTAATATTAACTTATGTAATATTATTATAT